CAGTTTGACCCCTGTTGGGGCTGCAGGCTGAGGATGCAGGGCCAGTCGTGCAAATATTGTGACTGACCCCTAGTGCAACTCAGGACACCAAGGCTCTGGGCACCATCCTTGGTTGGTGAAGGCATGTATGGTGGCACACGTTGTTGATGAAGAATTAAGTGCTGTCCATGAGACTCCACTGGGAGAGGGTACCTGGAAATGTGGGCCTGGCTGCTTCTGGCCTCTGCCCCATTTGAGCTCCTGCCTTTCTGATTTTAACCTGTGTCCTTTTACTGCAGTGAACTGTGAACAGGAGTGGATCAGATTTTCTGAGTTCTGTGAGTCCTTTTGGGGTGGTTTTGGGGATCCCCAGCACAGATGAAACTGAGAAAACAAAGGTGAGGGAGGGGAGCAGCTGAGGTGAGGGAGGGGAGGTAGGAAAGACGTGGGACCTCAGATCCTTACAGATCATGGTTAAGAATGGCTTGGCCTTTGGCATGATTCCAGGGTGGTCATTTTGTTAAATTCTATGCCGTGGCACTAGGCTGCACCCAGCATCAGCTACTTCCTTAAGAGTACCTGCAGAAAACACAGGACTCAATGTGTTTGCTAGGGGGTGGGAGACCCCAAAGGCACACAAAAACCTACTTAAGGGGTGAATGGTGTCACCTGTGGGATGGCTGCACTGACTGTCCCTTCCCATGAGGCGACCTTGGGTTTGGAGCAGTCACTGACTCAATGACTATTGGTAAAGATGACACACTGGTGTGTTTATTCTCAAACCTATGGGGAAAAAAATCCCAGAACTGTTTGCCATATGGAATGCCACATATTGAAAATTCAGAGGTGATACCACTAATTTGTTTCAGAGTCACATATTCGTGATGACAGAATAAGGGAAGGGAAAATAGAATGAGAGAGAGAGAGAGAGAGAGGGAGAGAGACGAGAGGAGAGGTTGAAGCCATTTAAGCAATTTATTGTCACAAAGACTCAGCTGTCAAGGTTGCAAGTAAGTTGTCAAGTCCAAGCATGGATGGGGGATCCAAGAATTTGTCAAACTTCTGCTTGCTAGGCGCAGCATGCCGCTTTCTCAAGAGCATGCCTTTAATGCACGTTGGCCAGAGAACATCCCTGAAGCAATGGGAGAAGGGCTTGGTGGCTCATTTCTAAAGCAAAAGAGGCCTACACTTTGGATGGTGCTGGGACTTGAGGCAGAAGCCTGTGATGGATGACAGCTGAGTTGGTAGCCAGCCCACCCCCAAGTCAGAGCTGTGCTACTGAATGCTTGGCCTGAACTCAGGGAAGCCAAGTGATCACAGAGCTCTGCTGATAGCCCGTGAGTCCAGATGCCTGGACTCTGCCAACACAGAGGCTGTTACCTATTTTCTAATTACGACAAAGTGTCTGGTCTCTGCTCTCAGGAGGGAAGGCTGTTTATAGCCAGCTCTGGGTTTGAAGCCTATTGTACTGTGTGTCTTTGGGCAAGTTTCCTAAGACTCTCTGGGTCTGTTTCCTCAATTGTGTACTGGTTATTCTCATGGACTTTGTTCACAGGATTGCCTTTTCCTTGAGGACTGAATGAGATAATGTCTGTAAAGCACTTGGCACAGTGCCTGGCATGCATTAAAAGCTCAGACAACAACAAAGCCAGAGAAAGTATTGGGGTTTTTAGTAAGTCATCAGACATAAAAGGCATTTTGGAGGGGTGATGCTAGTCACACATGTTCAAGAATGTCATGCTGGCAGAGGACATCCGTGTGCTCTGGGTCAGGTTTCAGTGGATGGGACAGAACTGCCCTGATGGATTACTTTCACTATTTAGGCCTTCAGTGCTCAGGTAAAGTTTTAAGAGCAGCACATAACTTACGTGCTACTGACTTTAGCACCAGGGTTGCTACTGACCTCAGGTGCAAGGTTGTTCTGTCATCTCCTAACATCTCCCAAGAGAATGAAGAGGGTAGAACTTGGAGGGTATGCAGATAAGATGGCCCATGAGACCACACTCTCTGATCATGAAGGCACACAGTTCTATGTCATTAGAGCCAGAGATAGTACTGGCAGGCACCCACTGTGGACTCCCAAACACGACTTGTGTCTGTATTCCAGCTCCTTCAATATAAGTGTGTGGATCTGGGCATGATCTCAGTCTCCTCGTGTATTAAAAAAAGGAAAATGCTTGACTTGCAAAGTTGTTGTAAGGATAAAATAATATAAAGTAATGTAATAGAAACACCTGCTACATGGGAAGCTCTTCATAAATGATGCAAATTATGATCACATAAGTAGGCAAAGTACGGTCAGGACCAAGTTGAAATGCATTAGTGGTAACTGCTATTGTTCTGTGACAAAAACAATCCTGTGAGACCAAATTAGTTTCCTTCTCAGAAAGAATGGCAAGATACAGACAGCAGAAGGTTTGCTTTGAAGCTTGGCAACTGGATGCAGTTCATCTTGGGAAACAGTGTATGGTTTGGATCAATCTCCGCTCATTATTGTCCTGGGGAGACTGGATTTTGCTGATACTGGGCGGGGGGCAGACGGGACAGTCTGCATGAACAGACCTCAGCCAGAGGAAGATGAGTGATGAGCCCCCTGTGGACAGCATCCTTACATGTTATGAGCAGCTGGAAGATCAGCTGTACAGGCAGGGATCACACCTAGCTCCAGGGGAGGTGCGGGCAGCCTCAGTGCATATGCAAGTGTGGGCTCACCTCCCCTTCTAGTCCTCTCGGCAGCAGGCAGTAGTGTGCGGGGATCCATGGCCTGTCAGGCAGTCATGAAATCTGGAAGCCCAAGGACCCAAGGGGGAGTGGATGTGGGACAACCAGGCCAGAAGGAATCTTTTCAAAGAAAAGTGTGGATGGTGCCCCTCCCCTGGTGACTCCAGTTCTTTTTGAATCCAGTTTTCTGGAAGACAAATCCAAGAGAGACTGGAACAGAGCCCAGATGATAGGGAGAGATGATTTCCAAACAGAAAAGTCTGCATTCAGCACAGAACCCATACAGAGAATAAGCAGGCATGGAAGTTGAAAAACACAGGAGTGGGAGTAGATGTAACTGCAGCTAGGCAACTCATTGAGGACGGAACCCCCCTGAATAGAGTCACTGGTGTCTCCCCCAGTCGCTTGGGAAAAGGCTGAGGAATGCGGGTGGGCTGCCAGACCTTGCTTGTGAAGGTAATGCAGCCAGACCTGGTCCTTTCTTCCCTATTAAGGCTGTGCATCCACAGGAGAAATGACCCAAGGATGTCCCCAAGTCTATCCCCGCAGGAAATGAACACTGATGACTGCATTTGGTGCTTGTTGGTCTGATGCAGACGTTCTCAACTGGGCCACATTTTGTTCCCTCAGAGGGCACCTGGCAATGTCTACAGAGACTCTTGGTTGTCACAACTGGGGGCCGGGGTGTGCTACTGATGCGAGGAGAGGCCAGCAGGTAGAGGCCAGGGATGCTGCTAAACACCCTGCAATGATAGCACCCCCAACAAGAAAATTATTCAACCCTAAATGTCAATAGTGCTGAGTTTGAGAAACCCTGGTCAGATGCAGTGCAGATGTTCCAGACGGAGCCAGCTTGTTCCTCTCACCCAGCAACTCTGCAGGGTAGAAGGGGGGAAAGGCCACGGCTAGCCTGTTGTCCCTCACTGGTGGACACACACAGATGAGTGGGTGATGAGAAGGCAAAAAAAATTGGGAGTGGGAATGAACCCAAAGGTAACCCTGGGCTAACTTCTCAAGGTAGATGGAAGGATAAGGGCAGACTTTCTCATTTCAAGGCAACTCTTACTTATTTAAAAAGCGATTTCCTTAAGCACATAATTATATGTTTATTTCCCTGAGGAACTCTCGAAGCAGAGGAGACCTGCTTAAATTATGGGGATGGAGGCTGCACACAGGGCTTTAATGGGGTTAGAAAAATTTTCTGTCTCCTTCAAAGGAGCCTTGGGAGTGAGACAAGGGCAGATTCCTCTCCTGCAGTGCAGGGGATGTAGGGACGGGGAGTAAATAGGGCCAGAGAGGCTGATTGTATGGCCCCAGCAGGTCAGGGCAGAGTGAACTCTGGGAGGCAGCTTCTAGCCTCTCACCTCTCTTCCCATCATGGTAAGCCTCAGAACAAAGGGGAGGGGTACAGGAAGTGAACCATTCACTTTCTTCCTGTCCACTCCCTTCACATCACACACACACACACACACACACACACACACACAGGTTCCTCTGGAGGATGCTCTGGTTTGCATCAAGAAACACAATGGGGCCATGCGGTGGGAGTGGGTAGGGTGGAAAAGCTTTTGGGGAGAGAAGACTAAGGGTTTTATTCAGTGCATCCTCTCTTTGCACTATTTTTCATTCCTCTGTTGCAGCCCGAATGCCTGGAACTGTAGGTTTCTTTTCCTTGGGAGAGTGGGGTCCAAGGGATGAAGTGAAGGAACTGACCTCTCAGATGTGATGCACAGAAGGCAACGGGGGGAGGGCATCTTACAGTCTCTGACTAGGGAGACTTTGGCTGATTTACCTTTTATGTAAGGGTGAGCTGGATGGGGGTGAGTTGCGAGGTAATGGTGGAAAAAAGTAGGAGTGGGTGGTTTAGTCCTGGGTCTGACCTAGACCTCAGAGATGGGGTCTGCAGGGGGACACCTCCTCCCTCCTCTGTCTCTACCCTACCTGCAAAGCAGGTCTACCGTGGAGTCCATTCTATGTGCTTGAGCTCTTTCTATGTCCATATTCTTGTGAGCTTTTGAGAACAGAAACCACGTCTCATCCCACTGGGGAGCCTCTGTATGTAACAGAGCCTGGTCCACACAGGCACTTACTATGTATTTCACGATGAATTCTACCTTATCCAGCCCAGCCCACTCTAGCACAAGAGGACGGGAATTCACCCAGACACTGTAGCAAATTGAGTCCATTTGGCTGGTGTATGCCACTCCTCCCATCTGTTAGATGTCAAAAGCATATACTGATGGCACAATGGGACTTAGCAAGATAGAAGTGGAGACGATATCTGAGAAACATGGCTAAGATTCATAGTCCTGGAGGTCTTCATTTAATCATTAACGATCTGCATCCTTAGGCCTGATATCGTGGGGGTGGCACAGTAAGCTGGAGATGCCACATGAGCCTAGCAGCACTGAGGCTGGCAGGAGGGGCCCGTCCCCAGGAAAACGGAGTTGGTGGTCACCTGTGAGCTTGACGTCCAGGCCTTCTCAGTACTGAGAGGGACAAGGGTGACATTTGTGGGGCAGATGGGCCTAGACTGAGGGGTCGTGCCAACAGGGGTGCATTAGAGAAAGCTGCAGCCATATCAAGATACACAGAATTTCAGCATCTTCAAGAGGCAGAACACACGTGTCGTAGCCGTGGCCTATCCTTCCACTCTCCTGGGGGCTCTCTGAGCCTTGGCCACCTCAGCCAAAGAATGGAACCGGCTTTTGCCTTTCCTGTATCTCTGGCCTTGCGTGAGATGCAGAGAAAACAATGTGTGGGAGTACTCTGTGAAGTGCTATGCATTGTGAGCTGGTTCTTGAAGGTTATTTGCTTCAAGAAAACAGTTCAGGGCTCCCTTCAACTCCCACCTCAACGGGGTCCTAGCCATCCCGTCAACCAGGACCTGCCTGCAGGGGTGGCTACTTGAGTCTCTTGAACCGGCCAGGAGCCGCAAGGTTAAATCCTTTAGTCCGTTTCCCTTCGTCTCTGGCTCTGTCTACCCCACAGGGCGGGACAGGAGGAGCCCGGAGAAGGGTGCCGAGGCTGTTACTTAGTTCGCTGGTAGAACTGGAAGACGGCCTTCTCTTGTTCATAGGTCTCGATGGAGCCAGGTCGCAGGCGTCGGATTTCAGCAATGGCATCGCCTGCAGCCAAGCCCTTCTCCTTCACCAGGTAGCAGGCCAGCATGGTGCCAGTGCGGCCATAGCCCAGGGCGCAGTGCACTCCCACCGCCTGTGAAGAAGAAGTTGAGGGTGTGGAGCCCAACACCCTCCCCGCCATTCTTGTGCTGCTCACTGGGATCAGTACCCTCCCCACAGCGGCTTCTCCAGGATAGGCCCAGGGCTCTTTTCATGCCTTCAGAGGGCAAGTGACATCAGTCAGGGAGGGTGTCCCTGCACCCCAGTGGCTAGGAAGCCTCTGAAGTGGCTGGTTCCAGAGCCAGGCTCCGGGCCTCCATCCACACAGCCTTCTACCTGTGCTATCCACTACAAGGGCCTCTATGCATGGCTCCTGTGTACTTAAAATGTGGCCATTTCAAATGACATGCGGGGTAAAACACACACCTGAGTCTGAAGAGGCAGTACAATAAAAGGAAAGCAGCTGTCTACTATTTCAGAAGTGGGCATTACTCCGTACTCGCATCTCATATTGGAGTGCCTGGTTCTGCTCCTGGATACTCCACTTCTGCTCTAACTTCTGAATGCTAATGTGAACCCCAGGTTCATGTAGTTGGGTATCTGCCACCCATGCAGGGAAACTGGACTGAGTGTGGGCTCCTAACTTTAGTCTGGCCCAGACCTAGCTGTTGCAAGCATTTAGGGAGCAAACCAGTGGGTGGAAGATCTCTCTTCATCTGTCTTTTTATACCTTTCTTATAAAATGAAAAACAAATTTTTAATTTTACATTGACTGCGTGTTTAAATGATAATATTTCTGACTTACCAAGTTAATATTATCCAAATTAACTTCACCTGCTTGTTTTTACTCTTTAAAACATGTGATCGCTAGAAAATTTAAAATTACATATGCAGGTGCTTTGAAAGGCTTGTGGAAAATGAAATGAAATTTATTGTGGTGCAAAAAATTTTGAAACCTATGCAAAGGGTTGTCAGAAAAGTTCATGAAAAATATGTATCATGAAAATACTTTTCATGGATTTCAGATTTTTTTTGGAACCAAAACGAGCTTACCTTTCAATTCTGCTCTCTGAACTTTTTTAAGTGCCCTGGTATGAGAACATAGCTACGGAAACCGGAAAACAGGCTCGCTCTGACTTCACCTTGCACTTCTCCCGAGTCTGTCCAGCCTCTGCCCTCTCAAGCGCTGCCTAGCCCTCTCCCCTTCGCTCCTCTGTAGCGTCCCCATCCTCTTCCCCGTAAGGGCCTCCCCGCAGCCAGCTCCGCCCACGTCCCCAGCTGAGTCCGGCCAAGTCCCGCCCTCCCCGCGCCGACCCCGCCCGCTGACCTCGCCCCGCGCGTTGGCCTCGTCCACGATCTGCACGAAGCGGTCGATCTGGTTGGGGGCGGGCGGGCAGAAGTCCGGGATGCGCAGCCGGTGCACGGTGAGGCCCGGGCAGCTGTCGCTGTGCGGGGGCCCGCGCTCCGTCAGGGACACCAGGTGCCGCACTCCCAGCTCAAGCAGGAACTGGTAGTGGGCGGGGAGCCGCGGCAGCGCCAGCCCCGCCAGCCGGCCCGGCAGCACCCAGGAGAAGTTGGGGGGCTGCACTCCCATGGCTGGGGGTCACCCGGGGCGAGGCTGGCACTGCTAGAGCCGCCCTCCCGTCACCTCTATTCGGGCGGGCAGTAACCGGCCACCTACGCGGCTTCGGCGCCGACCGGGCCACGTGGGTTGCGGGACCCCGCCCCCGGGTCCGGTCCGCCGCTGGGGATTGGCCGAGCCGCCCGGGGGCGTGGCTAGAGCGCGGTCCTCCAGGCTTTGAGCAATGCAAAGTGGCAGCGCGATCCACCCCCCCACCGCCACCGCCCCCAGGCCCGCCCAGGACAATCGTTGGTTGGTTGCATCATCAATAATGGGCGGGATTACTGCAGCCGTGCGCAACCCAAACAGCCAAGCAGGAAAACCTGGAACGAATGAATTGTTTTCTGTGGCTGAGACAACACGGGGTCGGGCTCTGCTGCGCCCTGGCGGTGTGTTGGTGTTACTGCAACTCTGGGTAGCCGCCTCTGCCTCCTAGCCTTAGGCCTCTCATCGTTCCAGGGGAGGGCATCTCATCCGTTGACTGTTCAGTCGATAATCAGTATGTCTTGTGAATCTCCCAGTATGAGCGAAATCACCGACTGCACGTACACCATCCATTATTTTCACATTGCTAGAATCTACTTAAGTAATTCATGAGCTACACGTCTAACACTCTGAGATCTTACCAAGACAATAACTACAGTTGTAGTACTACTAATAATAACCAACCAATTCATGTGAGCATCTACTACGTGCCAGCTACTCTTCTAAGTATGTTACATGTATTAATTCATTTAATCACCACGATAATGAGATAGGTGACCTAATTAACCCCATTTTGTACATGAGAAAATTCAGGCACTGAAGAGGCAAGAGGCTCAGGAACTTTTTTTTTTTTTTTTTAAGGAAAGGGTTTATTGGGGGAAACCCAAAGGCTGGAGGGAAGGGGCGAAGAAGGAAAAAGAGCATAAGAGAGCGAGATCAAGAGAAAGAGAGGGAGAGAGATTAAGAGACAGAGAGAGATCAAGAGAGGGCCCTGTGTTCAGGACCTGGTCCTGTTAAACCTTTGCATGGGGGTCGGGTAGGGAAATAGGAGCAGTGAATCTCTTTAGGATGGGGGTGGAGCTGACACCAGTGGTTGGGCCATGCGGTCACTGGCTTCCAGCAATGGTGAGGGGTGGGGTGGGGTGGGGGGGCCAGAGCCTAGTATGGTGTTCAGGGCATAGATTGTGCCATAGATGACTGTGGCATTTTACTAACATTCCCCCCTCCCTTTTTTTTTATAAAGCAAGAGTTGTATGGGATTACATTGGCCCCAAAAGTCCAGGAGGGGTAGAGGGTAGATGATCTGTCTTTAGAGCTACTTCCTGCTGGCATGGGACGACGAGGTACTCTCTGCTGGCATGACGTGATAGCTCAAGCCACTGTCTACTGGGTGAGGCTCGGGAACTTGACCAGCAGATGAATCTTTAACAGCACAGAAACTGTTAATTAAACAAAATTAGTTTTTCATCATGTAACCATCCTCACACCCCAAATATGAACTGGTACAGATACCTGTGGGCTTTCTGAATTTTTTCTCTAGTGCACATTTCTTCCTATTTCAGGGTTTCCAGGCTGGCTGGATTACCCTGCACTGGGCAGGCTGGAGTTGATCAGCGTTGCTCTTGTCAGGTGGGGACCTAGATCTGAACAAGCTTCTTTAGCTGAGCTCTGAAGGGTGCAAATCTTTGGGCTTCTAGGGATGCAGAGTGACTGTAACTGTGAAAACTCCTATTGAATGTGCTAGTGTGTCGGGCCCTGTGGTAAGTGCTTTTGGAAGGGAGGTGCTCTATGTCCATTTTGTACGTGAGTAATCTGAGTCTGAGAGACGGTTAACACGGCCAGGCACAGGTCCTTCCCTCCTTCTTCCCCTTCTGCCTCCGACAAACACACTTGACCGTTTAAACCTCTGGCCCCAGCAAAATGAAAAAGGATTTCTCCTCCCTTAGAGTTCAAAGTGTGCTCTGCCCCTGTGGAAAATGCACTTACCATTTGCACACAACGGCTTTCTCCCCGGCTCCAGGAGCTGCCCCATCTCCCCTTTGCTCCCATTCCACAGCATCACAGCCCTGATTAAGCTCTTCCTGTTTGCACTCCCGGTCCCACAGAACTCCCTATCAGTCTCTCTAGCCCACCTCAATTCATTCCACCCCTCCCCAGCTGTAGGCTTTCTGCTGCCCATCACCCCACCTCCACTTCTCTCATTCTAATTGTGCCCCAGGCTTTCTGGTTGCCCTGCTCCTGGAGACAAGACTCCTGCTCTTGCTCCCTGCAAGTTAGTCATTCATCCCTCTGCCTTCCTCTTCTTTCTTCCCACCCTTCCTTCCTTGCCTCCTTGATGTCCTGTCCAAAGCCTGTCTTCTGCAGAGAGATTTCCCTCTCTCCCGAGCCCCTGTTAGTGACTTCCCTCCATGTGGGTCTCTGCAGGGCTGGAAGTGCTTCCAACCACACACCAGGGCTTCTCTATGGAAAGGCCAGGCTCCCTTTTTAGGAATTCCTTCCCCTCCTCTGCTGCTCCCCTCCAGTAGACCCAAGATGGAGAGGGCCAGGGTGATTGTTTCGTCTGTGTCCATCATCAAGAGAGTGACATTTAATTTTCTGTATTGGGACCAGGGAGTCTCAAGCTGTAAGAACAAAACGTCTCTGGTGGTGGCCTGGCCAGAACCCCTGCAACTAAGAACCCGAGTAGCCCGTCCCCCTGTTTCCCTACACAGGTAATACTGCCTTTCTTCCCTCTTTCCTCTGTACAGGGTTATTTGACCCTCAGGAAGGTTTAGACTCTTTGTGTCTCCTATCTCACGTTGTATCAGGATGCCTTCCCAGTATGGCAGTTCTTACACTGGATTGGGATGACCTGTTTGCAAAGGAACCAAGACTACTACTTCCAGGTTTGAACTCTACACAGCTAATATGGAGACTGACACAGAAGTGCTCAAAAATGTTCAATGATCAAATAAATGGCAAATTAAGTTAGTGGGAGGCAATGACAAGGCTGTGCGCCTACATTGCTGAGGGGGGGCAAATGTGATTAGGACAAGGTGACAATGTGTATTTGTGGTTCTCTTTATTTGCATGGGTTGAGTGTTGTGTGGCACCTTTTTGAGATGTGCTGGTCTATGCTTTTAAGGAAAGAATGACTGTGTCAGTATGATCCCAGCCAAGTCTAATTACTATTTTTGTAAAAAAGGGATAAATAAGACTTGTTCTTTATAGAGCATTGTTCCTGTGGTGTGCATGTCTGTGACAGTGTGTGTATGAGTGTGTTGGGGGACGTATTCCTGGAAAACAATCTGTTGACACTGATGATGGGATGAGTAATAAGCTTAAGTAATTTCCCTGACTTCAAGGAATTTGCAACATACTTGGGGGGATTTAGACGTAGATATAATTATTCTCAGAACATATAATAAGGTACTAAATTACTCATCAAAGCAATCGTCATCATCTGACAATCAGGTAATATATATTAAGGAGATAATTGTTCAGGAAAAATAACAAGCACAAAAGAAGTCAGTGGGGAGGGGGAGGGAAGATAAGCCTGGTCTGGAACCACAAGGAGAGGCATACGGAAGGTGAGGTCTCCCATTCTTGTTTTGTTCTCTGTCCATTGAAACACTCAACAGAAAGTTTTTTTTTTTTTTTTTTGACAGGCAGAGTTAGACAGTGAGAGAGAAAGACAGAGAGAAAGGTCTTCCTTCCGTTGGTTCACCCCCCGCCCCCACATGGCCGCTATGGCTGACACGCTGCGCCAATCAGAAGCCAGGAGCCAGGTGCTTCTCCTGGTCTCCCATGCGGGTGCAGGGCCCAAGCACTTGGGCCATCCTCCACTGCACTCCCGGGCCACAGCAGAGAGCTGGACTGGAAGAGGAGCAACCAGGACAGAACAGGCGCCCCAACAGGGTCTGGAACCTGGAGTGTCAGTGCTGTAGGCGGAGTATTAGCCAAGTGAGCTGCAGCACAGGCCAACAGAAAGTTCTAAGGCATCCTATCCTCCACCCACCTTACCCCAGTTATTTCACACACACACACACACACACACACACACACACACACATTTCTTGACCTAGTTCTTGCTCATGTTGAAGGCTTAGTTCCCTGATAGGCTTGATGCAGTTACAGGTGAAATTCAATTTAAAGAACTTCTTCCTCCAGGAAGGTCCTATGTCCCATGAAGGCAAAGGATTGCTTGGGTTTGGGTTTCTGTGGGCCTTGGACTGCAGTCAGAATTCTCAGTGTCCTAAATGTTGTGATTTTTCTGTGTCTAAGGCACATCTCCCAGCTGGAACCCACTGATCTATAAACTGAATCTATGAAGAAGGAGTGGTGTGGTAGCCCTCCTCTGAGATGACCCCCATGGGCCATTCCCTGCTTTGTGAAGTCCTTTCTTACACTGATAGGGCCAGTTTCGGGGTATCATTAAGATATCATGGAAATTATGGTGTGTCACTTTCTTGGTGGGTCATAAAAGGCCTGTGTGTGTGTGTGTGTGTGTGTGTTGCTCTGTCTTGGGAAGAAGAGTTGCCATGGGAAGCATTTTGGAGGAAGCTGACCTCCATGTGAGGATGTGAAAAGTTCATAGAGTGAGGACCTGAAGCTCCTACCAGCAGTCGCATAAGTGAGTAAGCTATTTTGAGAGTGGGTCATCCAACCCATCAAGACAATATTTGCTCATTATCATGACTGTGATTTCATGGATTCCCTCAATTACCTGGCTAAGCCTCTCCTTCTATAGAAACTGATATAATAAATATTTACTGTTTTAAGCCATCACATCTGTTATGTGGCAGTGAGTAACTAATGCTGATGAAAATATTCAGTTTGAAGAAAGGAAGAGAAGTCATTTCCAATAAACTCAAGAAGTGATATAAGATCAAAGTTAATTTAAACAGAAAGAAACATAAGCAATTGTGACATACGTCTGTGTGTGCTGTGATAAGTCACACTTTCTACATTTGGAGAACTATACTGTCTAAGGGAACAAGAGTAGTTGGGAGGTGGATGGTGTTGGGATGGAATATGTATGGTTAGAGATTAATAACTGGTTATGCCACAGGAAGCAAGAAATTAGAACAGGACACCTACCAAAAACAGGATCTCTACCAATTGCCGTACAAA